GCAGCATCACCTTCTGCCCACAATTTCGTGTTTCTTCAAAGGCCCAAAAATTCCCCAAGTCTAGAAGTTATTCCAGGAGATGTGGGCTTGGAGAGCAGAGATGAGGTGCACACACCTGCCCAAGCAAACAGGACACTTGAAACCACAAGACAGGCTGTTGGCAGCCGTTCGACGCGCCTGCCGAAGGTCTCCCCACTCCAACGGGGTGTTCTGATGCTGGGAAATGAGATCTCAGCTGTCTCAGCAACCCACAACCAGGAGGGTGATCTTCAGTAGCTCAGCTGCTCCTGCAAGCTTGGGACCCAAGGGCGCAGGCATTTGTCTGAATACCTTCCCCAGTGCTTGTGAGAGTCACTGTGTTTTGTCTAAAAATAAAAGAGATTTCCAAGTGAGGACTATCGCAGCGCAACATTGACTTGTAGCAAGTGTGGCTGGAGACAGCTTGCACAGCTCGCTTCCTCCTGTGCCCATGTGTCTCAGTCCCATTGTTCCAGCTGCTTTGATTTCTTCAGGCAAGCAGAGACTCCACCCGAGGACAGGTCGGAGAAAAGAGAGGAGGGTGGGAGTCTCCTCAGTGTGACACCCCATTCCTATACTGTCAGGTGTGACCCACGGCCCCACTGAGCGTGCTGGCTATTCAGTGTAATTTCGGGCACAAGAGCCTCGATTTCTCCATCTCCATGTGCCAGGAAGGTGGAGCTGAGCCCTGGGTTCTGCTCATTCAGAGTCAACTCAGTCATCTCTTTATTGGGGGGGGGGGTTGAGGGAGGACAGAGAGGAAGGGCAGGGGAGAAGCAGGAGGGGGAACAAAAGAAGGACCAAAGATAAAAGGAAAAAACAGGGAAGAGAAAACTTCTTTGTCTTCAGCCCTGTAGAAATCTTTCTCAGTGGGGACTGGCTGGTATTGCCAGTGGCTCTCTTGCTCTTTACAGATTCTGGATATACATTTCCCTTAAGACTGGTTGTCTGCAAAGTGTGGGGAAACAAACCAGAACCCCTCATAAATCAGTAGAGGTCACTGCCAAGAGCTTTGTACACTTGCTGTCCCTGGCAGTGATAAACTCATTGCATTTGGGAACTGGCCAACGACCCTGAGCCCTATCTTAATTCTCATTCCCAGAAAAACCTCAGCTCTCCCTTCACCCACTCCCTGTTTACTTTCTTTGTGTTTCTTTGACAAAGCTGGCAAGGAGGAAGGAGCAGAGTCCCACAACTGGGTACATCAAAGCTCCATTGCTTTGCTAGTGGGAGGAGAGGAGAGCGGAGGACAGTCACGGATCCATAGACAGTGGGAAAAGGTGGCCTGGGCCAGGGCGCCTGCAAATCGTGGGCCCCACAGGGGAGCTGGGAAAGTTGCACAGTTTCTTGGATTACTCTTGGGCCTGGCATCTGTGGATCCGGCTTTGAGGTTGGTCCCTCCCAGGGTAATTTGAAGCTGCGGTGGAGCTGGCCAAGGGCTAGTGGAATGCGGCTCTCAGACCGCCTCTCCCGCCAGCCTGTTCTCTTTCCCTGCTTCTGCCCACACCTCCCCCACCTGGGTTCCCATTTTGGAGTTGGCCATAGGACATCGGGGAGAATGAGAGTGCTGCCCAAACAGCTGCCTTGGCCCCTATGGACCCCTGGAGAGTGCCCCCCCACCTGTCCCTCCTTGCTCCCTGAGTCGTCCTTCTTGCTCTGGGAGACCAGACTGTGAAAACTGCAAGACCAGACTCCTTAGGGGACACATTTTTCACTGCCTTGAATCTTCCCACCCTGATGAGGATCCTTCTGGCTGGTAGACAGCAGTCCCCACATCTGGCAGGGCAGGTCACCCCCAGTCACCTACTTCTTCTTTGGGGCTCTTAACTCAGCTGGTCATGCACATCTTTGTGTATCAATCTTGCTTGATGGAATCTAAACTCTATGATCACAGCAGCCTCTTACTTGGGCTGTAATCTCAGTGCCGGGCATGGGCCTGCTGTTACACCTAGTCAATGCTCAATAAGTGTCTGCTGGGTATTTTTTTCTTAGATTTATTTATTTATGCATACATTTATGCATGCAGAACTGGGGTACAGACCATGGGGCAGGTGCTGTAAGAGGATTCACCAGAGACAGCATGGGGCGCAGAACAGGCAGATCGACGAAGTACACTGCTGAGGGGAGCAGCGGGCAAGACAGGAGATATCTGTTGGCCATGTGGGTCACCTCCTGGGCTGGGGATTGAACTCGTACTGTAGTGGGTACCATTAGCTTCATAGTGCTGCACTTTAACCCATTGTGCCACAAAGGAGGGCCCTTTCCGGCTCTTTTTCAATGGACAAGTTGGTTCTTTTAATGAGCTGGACTTTTCTTGCCTGTGATGAAGCTGTAGACATTAACTGGATTAAAGCAAACTTGGGCTGAAACCAGAAGGGCTAGGCAGGAGCGGTGTTCTTCCTCCCTTAAGGACAGGGGTGTGTTCTGTGAGCTATACCTGGAGCCTTAGATATACCTTTGCAAATCAGACCAGTAAGCAGGGACCTGTTGCCTTGGAAGGGGGTTTGGGAAAGGTCCAACCATGAATGACAAGCCTCTCTAGATGACTCAGGCGCCACCTGCCTCTGCCAAGCAGACAGAAGCAATGCCTAAGGCAAGAAGTAGACAGTGAGTCATTTTTACTATGGGTTAACATCGGTGCCTAAGATTTAAATGTTAGAACAATGTAAAGTGACAACAAATGAAAACAAAACCAAATGATGTCCCTCCCTCTAGGTTCTGAGGCCTTCAGGGATAAGCCATGATGCTCACCTGTGATTTCTGTTGAGGTGAGCATAAGTCCATGCTCTGCCCACACAGAGCAGGCCGCATCTGACCACAAGAAGAAACGAGTATGAGGCTGCAAACATGCTGGGCATTCCATTCAAAGCAGCATCTTAGTGAACCAAGATACAATGCAAATTCAACTAACATTGGTCCCCATGCAGGACACAGCATCTATAAGAGATTAAAGCATTTTATTCCCACCCTAAGGCACTGAAATGAGAGTGGGCTGGGTTTTCATCTGAAACCTACAGAAAAAAATTTATAAGCCAAGTTCTCATTAGGTTTATAAAATCAGAACACATCTGGACCATCAAAGCAGTCTCAGACCCAAGTCACTATTTAATTTCACTTGGCTCATTATATTGGGCCCTTGCCAGGAGTAGAGTCATAGCCTGCTTTTATAAATATGGGGCATCTCAAGAAGAATGAAGCTTCTGGTCCCACTGAAGATGGGGTGTAGAGGGACCACCTGTAGTCAAGGTGTTTCTTGCTCTCTGCCTTCACTTTCTTCTGAGCTGGGTCAGGAGAGCGTGATCGCCAATCCTTGCCATTCATTGCCCCAGAATCCTCTGGGAGGCACCAGCAGTTTGGGGGGGTATCTCTAAAGAGTTCCCTGACAACTGAGGGGCATTCTCTGTCTCCCCCACTCTCCCGTCCCAGAAAGAGGACTCCAGGAAGAGGTCTTAGTGATGAGTCCAGCCTCTCAGCTGGACATCTCTCCTCATTGACCCATTCTCCATCTCTGCGCCCCCCCCACCCCCAACCCTCTGAGCACTGGGGCTCCTGTCCAGCTTCTTGGAGTGAACAGTGAGTATACTTCAGGGAAGATCCTTCCTCTCCAGGCCAGCCTCTGCCTAACAATCCCAACCCCTTACTCCACATGCACACTCCCTCCTAACACACCCTCTCTTGGGACTGAGCTGAGCTCGCCTATGTATTACAACTGATAAAGATCCCCTTGCCCATCAACAAGCTCCCCTTTTAATGAACCAGGCTTTCCCAGCCCTTAATGAGGACAGAACTATTAGGAAGGGCCCACAAGGCTGTAGGAATTAGCTGAAAGTCAAGGGTGAAATTTATTGCCAAGGTCTGAATGTAAATGCCACCAGGAGCCCAGAAGAAGAGAGGGCACTGTGCCAGGGCAGCTGTCCCCTAGGTATAATCCTCAGGCCCACCTGTTTGCCCACATGCCCATGATCTGGCTCCAAGGGCACCGTTCCAGAACTAGATGGTGTCCCTGTCATGACAAGCACAACTGACCCAATTGCATTTTTAATGAGACTGTAGTTTTGTTTTGACTTTTATTAAACTTTTATATTGGAGATACTTCTAAATTCACATGCAGCTGTAAGAAATAAGACAGAGATGTAACATTTACCCAGTTTCCCCTCATGGCAACACCCCTAATTTTACTTGTACCTGTGTATGTGTTTAGTCCCATATGTCCTATCACATGCATGATGTATGTTCAGAGAGAGTCCTACCTTCCCCAGAAAGGCCCTTCCTTGTCTTTTTTTTTTTAAGATTTATTAATTTATCCATACAGAACTGGGGTACAGACCAGAGGTGCAGGAGCAGTGAGAGGCTTCACCAGAGACAAAGTGGGGAGCAGAAAAGGCAGATCGAGGAAGCACACTGCTGAGGGGAGCAGTGGGCAGGTCAGGAGAGGTCTGCCACACCACGTGGGTCACCCCCAGGGTGGGGATCGAACTCGTGCTGAAGTGGCTTTAGCTTCTTAATGCTGTGCTTTAACCCGCTGCGCCACCAGGAAGGGCCACCTTCCTTGTCTTTTATAGCTACCCCTCCCTCTTCTGTCTTCCATCCTGAACCCCTAGAAACCACTAACCTATTGTCTATTCTATAATTTGTCATTTCAAGAATACTGTATATGTGCAGTCATACAGTGTGTAACTTTCTGGAGCTTGACTTTTCCTCTCCTCATGGCCCCCAAAAGATTCATGCCAGGTGGCACCAAGGTACGGTGCCAAAGCCTTTGGGTCATGGTCCTCAAGAATCTTGTACTCAAAGAGAGAAAATATGTGTTTGGTGTTTCTGAGTGGGGGGGAAATAAACCCCCAAGCAAACATCTCTCAAGTCTTTCCAAGAACATGCAAGCACACCTAAGTTCCTTTCTTTCCTCGGACGGTGGCTAGCTGGGTGGCAATTCCCTGTTGTGTTGGCTGACAGTTCCTATGTCTCTGCCTCCTTCTTGCCAGGAGCACATCTACAAGCTTATGAAGAGTGACAGCTACGCCCGCTTCCTCCGGTCAAATGCTTACCAGGACTTGCTGCTGGCCAAGAAGAAGGTATCTTTGGGAAAGACAGCCTTGCCTTTCTTAGCACTGTCAACCTTTGCCTGCTGCTTGCTGCTGGTGTGAAATGAGAATATCATCCCTTGGGTTTTATTTCTTTTCTCTTTTCTTCTTTCCCTTCTCTGTCTGCTCCCACCCCAGTGGAAGACACTTAGCATTGTCACCACCTCCCCCAATGCCCCTAAGATCCCGGGCATGGCATCCTGCCTCCCCAAACCTCCGACATGTGTTTTCCCCCCGCAGTGGGAGTGTGACCAGACTCTAAGCCGCAGTGGCTCAGCCCAGGATACAGCACTGGCAGCAGCAGCAGGGGCTTCTTTCAGAAGCCCCAGGAAGCCTCACTGCTGAGCCGGCCCCTCAGCACAGACTTCCTGTCCCTGATCATCCCAGCAATAAATGTAAGGCGAGGACTGCAGTAGAAAATCTTACAGATATTAAGGACACTACTGGGTACCTACATCGTTTCTGGAATGGTTTCTCTTTGACATCCCTCTCCTCCTCCTCACCTTCCCGCCATGTTTGCCGTTTCTTTTAAGCAAGAAATAATCGCATCCTAGCTCCTTCTTCCCCCCTCAGTCATAACAGCATAGTTCCCTGCAGCCTTTGGCATCTACACTTTGGGGCCCAGGGCCCCTCAGCATGCAGGCAATGAGGGAGTGGACGCAGCTGGATTTGGGGACCTGGAAAGAGGGGCTGGAGAGACGCTTCATTACTCTAGAGGGTCCATGTTTCCTCTGCACTTTTCAGCTCTGATCTGAGGCCCACGTGGGGTTCGGTATGGCTCTCCTTGCCCCAAATTCCACAACCTCCATACCATGCCATGAAGGAGTATGTGCTCCCCTTCTGCTCCCCTCTCGGCCTCCCAAGCCTCGCATGTGGCTGGCCCTTGACACGCTCTGCGGCTGCCTGTCTCAACCACTCAGTCCTTCTCTCCATGTACTGTCGACATCATGTGCCAGGATCCTGTCTGTGCATCTGGCTGATCCTCCAGAGTCTGGTAAAGCCTTTAGAACCTGCTTTCCTGCCCTTCGGTAGCCCTGAGAAAAACAAAGGGACTTCAGAATGCCCAGATGGTCAGGAAGGCAGTTCCCATCATCACCTTCTATCCTAGCTCCCTTGCAGGAGGGTGGCGTTGGAGGGGCCCTGCTGAATGCCCCCCCCCACGTGGCTCTGATGCCCCCCCCCTTTTTTTTTCAAGAAAGGTTATGGAAACTTTTGGTATCTCTAGCCCAGTTTGCACAGGAGGTTAAAGTAAGTGTTCCTGATTTCTTATGGCTCGTGATACTGGATCACAACTTGGGGTCCCTCTGAAGCCCTAGCTGCCTGCCCCAGTCTGGACCTGTCTGCGTAAGAAGCCAGAGACCAGTTTCCTTGTGGGTATGAGTGCCCAGGGAAAATGCATCCTGACTTAGGGAGCTGGCTGAGATACCCACGCCTGCAGGGCCTCCCCAGGAGGAAACCTCAGGACAGCCTCCGGATTGAGGAAGGCACACTGGCCTTCCTGTGGTTGCCACGAGTGAAGTTTATCAGTGTTATCCTCCCCACAGCACACAAAGGGCTGTTCTTGCAGCAGAAAGCCCTGGCCACTGCCAACACCCTTTCAATGTCCAGGCATTGTTTCCAGAAGTAGCAGCAAACCTACTTTTTCTTCCATTTCTCCTTGAGAGTCTCCAAGTGTGGACTGGATTTGTAACTCGGCACTTTCAGGTAGGCCTAGGTATCCTCTGACCTCAGGAATGGCTTACCATGTGACTGTGATAGAAACGTCCAGGTCGTAACAGGTATGTGAGAGTGAAACCTCCAGCTAAGCCAGGGGATGTGAATTGGCCTCGCTTTTCTGCTGAGAACAACCCCTGGAGGTGTCTGAGGGCAGAGCCTTCACCCCTCACCCTTGAGTCTCACTGAGGAGCCAGCTTCTCAAGGGGTAGGTGAGCAGGGTTTTGAGGGCTGCTCCAGGACAGTGAAGATGGCGGCTTTCCAGGCAGCTGGGAAAACCTGCACAGGCAGAGAAACCCAAATGAGTCAGGCCCTGGCTTCCCCCGTAAGCCACACCTCCATAGCCAGAGGACCATGTTAGCTGCGGAGCTGCGGGCCAGCCTTCCGTGAGCCAAAGGTAGGCCTGACTTGCGCCTGACTCCAGGCCGCCCGCTGGATGAAGCTGTCCCGCCACCCCCGTGGAGGTTTGCTGTGGTCCCCAGGGATCCTTCAGTTCCTCGTGCAAGGGGAAAGGCCAGCTTTGTGCCGGTCACTGCTCAGTGTATCGTGTGTGTGATGTTCCTCCTACCCATGTCCCGGCAGCCAGCCAGTGTAGGAAGCCCACCGCGGTGTCCAGGGGCACAGGGCAGCAGCCTCCTGTCTCCTCTGCTGTCAGCACGTCCTGCAGACCTTGGACCTGCTGCCTCCCTGGACCCTACCTGCCATCGCCGGCCCTGTGTGTGTCCACGTGTATGTGTGAGCGAGCACACTCCCAGCTCCCCGGTCCTGGGCTCAGGACTCTGGAGCAGGGAATTAAGAGAAACTGCTGGGTGTTTGAGATGGAAATCCCTCCTGAAACCTCTCAGGCAGGTAACGCGGGAAAAGTTAGTGAGACCTGCACCCTCATGCCCTCCATTAGAGGGGAGCAGCTAGGCCTCGGGCTTTGTGCCCACTTACTCTTGCCCAGGGCAGTCGGCTAAGAGACCGCGGGGAGGTTGCTCAGCCTGCTGGAATCTGTGTGAGTAAACCTGGGATGGGGTCACCTGTCTGGAGACGGAGAGAACTCCTCCTCCTCCTCCTCGGAGGCCCAGACCCTTTGTCATTGCATGTACTTGGGCAGACCCTGTTTGCTTTAAGGACGCACCATGGGAGTCACGAGGGCCACTAGACATCCCTGCAGTGGGCACACTGGCTGCCTCGAAGGCCCAGCCCTGCCCACAGATGAGCCGGTGACCTCTTCCCTGGTGCGTCCAGCGCACCTCGTGCTCACCCACGGGCCCTCAGAGCCCAGCTGCTCTGTGTCACCATGGAGAGCCCCCAGAGGGCTGCCGGTGGCCTCAGCGACACTACACGGGGCGTGCACGGCTTGGCCAGTGCAGTGCAGTGAGCAGGCAGCTGTGAACCACCCTCCTTCCCCTGGCAAGCCCAGCCCCAGCCCTGCTGCAGGAGCCTCAGGAAGGAGAAGCAAACGCCCCCTCCCCTCACTGCTCCCAGGAGGCAGTTCTGCGGGCTTGTTTTCTGTCTCTCCCACTGAGTCTCGCACACAGTACTGCTTCTCTTTCCTGTCTCTTCGCCATGTTTTGCTTTTGTTTTTGTTCATTAGCTGCCGCTGCTGCTGTTTGGAAACCACGTGTAAGCTGAAGATTTTTTTTCTGTATTTTTCTCCCTACCTTTTTTTTTTTTTTTTTTTCCCCCTAAAGCCAGAAAGTGAGCAAGGTCGTAGAACTTCCTTAGAAAAGTTCACTCGAAGTGTGGTAAGTTCAGCTGGTTTTCTTCCCTGGAAGTTTCTTTTGTTTTTGGTTTTTCAATTTTTTTCTGTTGTCGTGGCCTTGGGGCGGGAGGGAATGCTTTCCCCAACCCCCTCTTTTCTTTTGCCAGTGTCTGCAGCTTCTCTTCTAGGGATGGATTTGCAAAAGACCAAGCAGCTCCCTCTGCAGAAGGCGCACACAGGACCGCCCAGCCTCGGGCCTGGCATTTGATCTTCTGTGCAGGGCTTTGAGGGCAAGGACCCCACTGCCCTGGGGGCTGAGCGGTTTGTGCCTCTTCTGCAGCTGCCCAGGGAGCTGGCCATCGAGCTGTATATGAAATAAATTGGCTCAGAACCATAGCTCACGTAAAAAAAAAAAATTCCAAATTTCCCTCTGTGAACTCTGGCGGTCACGCGGTGGGGGCCGAGCTGAGGCTGCTGCGTTGGCAGCTTTGTGTGTGCAGGCGCCTCTGTGCTGCATGGATCCTGGCGCTGTGGTGTAGCTGGTGTGCGTGTTAGTGGCCTCTGCATGAGTTCGGACTTCCCTCACAGCCCCTGTCAGCCGTACTTGCATAGAGTGACAGGAGAGGAGGGCAGTCACCCTGGCATGGGTGAGAAAGAAGCAAGTCCCCGCACCGTCCCAGTCCTCCTGGCTCCTTGATTCTGGGGACAGGGGGAGCAAAGACGGGCTTCAGGTTTACTATCACTGCAGGGTGTAGACTTACTCCTAGGGCCCCATCCTGTGAGGGGCATAGAGACCAACACAGGGTCACAGAGACCCCACAGTAACAGGTGAGCACACTGACGGGGTCAGTGACACACAGTGGAGGTTCTGTGCCTGTACGACTGCACAGACCCAGGAACCCTTTCTATTATGTTCTCTCCAAGATTTGAGCGTCGGGCTTGGTGTGCAGGAAGTACACAATCCTCTCATGCATGTATTCATCAAGAACTAGTTGCTGAGTTCATGGGGCCCAGCCTGCTCTGCTAACAGCAAAACCAGAGGCAACCAGCATGGCAGCTGGGGGATCAGGTGTCCCCCACGAAAACCCCTGGATGCTGACTTGCCTGCCCCTGCCCCCGCCACTCTGCTAAGGAACATCCTTGTAAAACCTGACTACTGTGTGACTAGTATCTCTAACACATCCTTTTCATGTAGATTCTATGCGTTCTGTATTAAAGCAACCTAGTCATTTACCTGTCATAGCTCAATGCATTTTAACTGAATTTAATCATTATTTTGAATTTGCTAGCTGTAAACATCCTAATAACCCTAGTAGGTGGCAAGGGAAATATGAATGCTCATCCCTTCTCTTCACTGATCTCCCCTCCCTGTGGTCTTGCTTGACGAGAAGTCGGGACTTGCAGGGAGCCAGGCCCACTGGCTGCTTCTGCCTTCATGGCAGGTTTGCCAGGCCACATGGCTTCACACACCAAGATGCCTCAGGTCATCAGAGGCAGGGCCTGCAGCAGCTCTCCCACCCCTGAGGCCACACAGGGAGCAGTTGGAACCTCCTCCCTCACTGTGGGTAGAGGCCTGTGGACAGAGGGTGTTGAGGTTGTCAACCTGCCCAAAGTGGACACTGAGGCAACTTGGACACTCAAGAGCAAACTAGAACAGAAGGCCCACAGATGCATGGAGGTTCTCAGGGTGGCCGCCTGGGCTGCGGGCTTGTGAAAGGAAGCCTGGTACCTGGATGAGATGCCTGATATCCCCAGGCTACTTTTCATGAGGATAGGTGTGGGGCAAGGCAAACACGCTCTTGATGGAGCTCAGGGAAGAGCATCATGAACGAACCTTCATCCCAGCAGTGGTGTGACTTCTGTGGCTCTCAAGGCCTAGTAACAAAGATCTTGGAACAAGAAAGTACCCGGCCCCTCCTAAGCATCTGAAGTGCACACTTGGGAGAACTTAGAGACGTGATCTCAGTGCCAGCTGGAGCAGAAAAATCTTCCAAACTTCTAAGAATTTGAGCATCTATATGATAAAAGGCCAAACTTTAAAAAAGATGTCTACCTGTTAAACTTCCTACTGTTCTTTCTATGAAGATCCTAGTGGGTCTTCTGATTCCTCTGAGTGTGTGTGTGTGTGTGTGTGTGTGTGTGTGTGTGTGTGTGTGTGTGT